GATATAGGCTTAGAGATAATTTATTTACTGTTGTACACGGACGATCATGAGCACAGTATATAACTGATTCAGAAGCTCTGGATAAAAAATAATGGGTTTGAATAATCAGATAAAAAAACTTTCATTTTAATTGAGGAAACTGATCAATTTGAATAATTCGTCCATCAAACGACTGACATTTGCAGATCCACTCGATCCAGCCAATAGCACTTGAGCAGACAGAGGATTCTATTGGATAAGCTGCACTACAAGCAACAAAACGCGAAGAATTAGATTTAAGAAAGTTTAAATAAAGAGAAAAGGGCAACAAAAAACTATCAATGAGTTTTCAAAGGGAAGCCTCGAAAATCCAAAACAACTGCCCTTATAAAAATGTGCTACTGGCGCTTACAGAATCTAGCTAATAGTACAGCAGAGATGCATGCATTATACTGACAATACAATGCAGTAAAACTGCCACCATGATGAGCACTATTTTATGCGAGTTTGGGAAAAGTGAAGTCATTATCTAACACAAAGCTCGCAAGATCGCTTGTGTGACTTTTTTGAAATAATTATTTGTCGAATGAGCCATGGATCACTCAACAATTTTTCAACGACTGGTAATGCTAGAATACGAACACTCGAACTCAATTACGAACCAGCTGAAAAACACCTCTCAACTGTATACGAACAACCATAAACTACAAACACACCAAAATCAGAAGCTATCAAAAAATGCTAACTGTTCAACTAATTTATTCGAACTGATATCTAAGTTTTTATAACTCCACTCAATTAAAGTCTTTTATTGACTTCATTGGGTAACAATATTCTAAATTCTTGAATAAAAAGTATTTCAATTTTTACTTCATAGGCACCCAGTAATTTTTGTGGTTCATTTTTCTATGATTATAGTTTAACATCAAAGAAAAAAATTAAAGATCCTTTGAATATAGCAACCTTAGTTATGTTTCTTGCAATATAATGATGTTCTTTACCATTGATTAAAAATCTTCAAAATTACTTTCCAACAACATTATATTCAGACTAAATTTTGGTTTTAGTTTTATCTGCAATTAATAGCGAAAACCATCTTAATGTAAAAACTGTTGGAAAGAACACCAGTCTTCAAGGCGATTGCCGGTAATTGATTTGAAGAAATTTGTTGGCCTACCAACATTTACGGAGAGATCCGTGCACGACCATGTAAACAGGCAGATGATATGCTTTGATAGAAACATTAAGGGTCACTTAACTATACTCATAATGCACGGGTTGAACTTAAAATCAATGAGCAAAAAAACTGAATAGGTCAAGACTTTGATAAAACTCAGAAGAAATGGTGCACAAAATAATGACTTGGCCACTGACAGAAGTCAAATTCTAAAAATCCATTGGATAATAGGTTTTATGCCTAAGATGGGATATTTAGGAAGCTTTTAGGGTATGGTGACAGTATAGCAGTGTATTGTTCTATCGCATTACAGTGCAGTGTTGTATGTATTGCAGAAATCGTTTTGAACTATTGCCTAGACAGAGCATACCAATGGACTCGTGTGCTCGTTTTTTTTTTATCAGGAGAGGCAAAACAGTACATTGACCTATTAATTATAGATTGTTTTCTATATCCTACAAGCAATTTGTTGGCCAATGATAACACTCTTCTCCTCAGTTGTAGCTGTAACAATAGAGCGGCAGTGGACTCATTGTCAACACCAAAACCACAAAAACAACAAGTGAACAACCAGACTAAAACGCAGACTACAGGGAAACAGCCATCTTACAGCCTTTGTTACGTTAATTAGTCTAAGTGGAGCTGAAAATTATTCAATCTGACTTGTTTATCGTGTTTGCCCCAACCGGAAGACCAGATTTTGACTAACTAAATCAGAAGATACCCTTTTGCCATGAGTTTGAATGAAAACGAAGATGCATTTAAAACCATTGACTCCGAGAGTGTGCTATCTCATTTTGAGAAAGTCGATGAGTTAGCAATTCAGCCCATGTCAGAAATTACAGCATTGGAAGACAAGTAAACCTGTAATGTCATAGACCTCTCCAATTTTTTGCTACAACCATCGATTTAAGAGCACGGATACTCAAACTCAATCAAAGTCCTGCATGATGACAACTGTTATCTGCACGGACGATAAAGATTACAACACACACCCGACTTAGAAGCTCTGAAAAAACAATTTGTGCGACTAATCACACTGTATTGATATATTAATTTGGTTATTCCACTCAGATCAAATTCTGTATTGATTTCATTTGAGAAACCCGCAAACAAAACCAATGATTGATTTCATAATTTGAACTGGAATTTGAATTCTTTGGTACTGTTTTTATTTAAGTGTTCTTTAATAATTTTCAAAATTCATTCCTAGATCTCAATTCTTTTTTGTTCTATGGTAATGAAAAAGACGAGACAAACACGAAAAAGTTAATGACAGTAGATATTGCGTCGATGCTGTTAAGAAATACAGAACGGGTTACACATATAAATGAACAGCCAAGAAGCTGGAACTGTAGCTACCAAAGAAGAAAGGCAAGGTAAATCCGGCAGGAATTTTGACTGACACTTTTTTGATAAAATGAAAAACTGGATTAAAATGGGTTAATTTTTTTGAGCTTGGAATTCCAAATATTAAAATCCACTTTTGAAACAAGAAAGCGTTTTTTTCCGGCGCCATTTCTGCGTTCGTAATTGGTGAACGCAATTGAATTTGAATTAGCGTTTAACGCACCTCCGATGCTTCGAAATTTTTCGACAACTCATGAAAATCGCATATATTGGAAACAAGATCTGCAAACTTTTAGTGTATTCTGACTGCACCAATTATAGTGTTGGTAATTTCAAACTTATAAATTTTTTTAATTCCCATTTTGAAAAACCAGAAAAGCCTCATCTCGAAACCTTAATGGGCCTCCGGAGAAATTTGGAGGCAAGATTTGCAACCACTGAGAGTCCTTAAGAGCACCTACAATAGGGTTGGGAATTTCAAATTTAGTGAATTTTTTTAAACCTAAATTTCCCGAAAAAAAAAACTTAAAAAACGTCTTATCTCGAAAGCTAAAAGGATTTGAGCGCATTCATATTTAGAGGCAAGATTTGAGACGCCTGGGTGTACGCTAACAATAATGATGTGTCTTTATCAAGTTAGTAGTTTCAAATTTTGTAGGCAAGATTAGCAACTCCTTAGAGTACCCTGACAGCACCCAACGACAGGGCTGGGAATTTCAGATTTTTAAAACAAAATTAATTTAAGTTTTCTGAAAATTTTTGAAAAAATCACGAACATCGTCATAACTCGAAAACTACAAGGTTTTGATCCGTCATACGTGGAGGCAAGATTAGCAATCCTTCTGACAGGCCCCAAGTACAGGGTTGGTAATTTCAGATTTTGAAAACAAAATTAATTTAAGTTTTCTGAAAATTTTGAAAAAACAAAAAACGTCATTTCTCGAAAACTACAAGGATTTGAGAAGTCATATTAGGAGGCCAGACTCGCAATCCTTGAGAGTACTCTGATAGGATCTAACTAAAGGGTTGTAAATTACTTTTAAATTTGAGCTTTCTGAAAAAAAAATCACAAAAAATGTCTTATCTGGTTAACTAAATGTTTTTGGGCATTCAAAATTGGAGGCCAAAACTGCAACCCCTTGGAGAATGCTGACAGAATCACAAAATTGGGCTGCTTATTTTAAACTCGGTGAAATAACCACTAAAACCAAAATGTAAATGCATTAATATGTATGATGCACTTCGGTAGTAAAAGCAGGTTGAGACTTTAGCTTAAAAAAATATGAAGATCTATATGAGTAAAATCACTTCTTTCTTTTAAACTTAAAATGAACAAGAAAACCGAAAAAAAAATTGATTGAGCTTTTTGAATATTTTTCAACTTTCGATTTTCGAAGAAGAAAATATATCACAATGTAGCTCATTAAATTAGTTAGGTAGCTCTTTAACATTGATACTTTTTCAATAAAAAAAATCCTATTAAGAGAAAACTGGATCAATAGAGAATCTTTAATCCGAGAAGCTATTCACTTTTTCGTGGTCTCTTCACTTTTGCTGTTGATGGGGTATTTGCCTTCAGTTAAAAGAGGAAACGAAGTCAACTTAAAAAACAGCCAATCGAAGATTGGATGGAAGATAGAAATGAACGCAAGTAAAAAACACTGACTTACTTGAAAAATCTTCACATTCGAATTTCAAAGAAAAAAATAGATGCCGCATAAGCTTTTTGAATTTGTAGAACAATTTATGATTGGCGCTTTTTTGATAACAATAACCCAGCTTGAGAAAACTGGATCAACAGGTAAAGTTTTTATTCCGCTGGAAACCTCATAATTAAATTCGAGTAGAAATCGTTCACAATTTTTGGGCCATTTCCACGTTCGTATTAGGAGAGTGCTATTTACGTCACTTTCAGCGGATGAATTTCAATTGAACTCGAAAAGTGCATATATACTTAAAAGCATTTATAAATGCATCAATATTTACGAATGCACTTCTGTAGTTATTAGAGACTTCTAAGATTTTTCCTAAAAAAAAACTTTAAAAAAATCAGCAAGACCTATCTAAGAATCTTCACTACGATCATTACTCTTTAAAACCAAAATTCTAACCGCAAATAACCATTTTCTCGCATGAACAAAGATAAATATTCTACCTCAGAAAAAAAAAAAAATCAAAGAGCTGTTTAATGACTCATAATATTCAGACCCATATATAGATATCATCAAAATAAATTCAATCTTTTCCACTTAAAAACAAGGATTTTTTTAGGTACATTTCGAAAAGTTGATCATAAAAAACGGCAATTTTTCGGCGCGTGCACTCCCCTAAAAACTTGCACATATTAACGCCGAAGGTGTCTGTAGAAAATTTGATGGCTTAATCGTCCCCCCCCCCACCCTCTAAACCCGCTAGTGTGAAAACATTTGTATTTCACACCTCAATTAAATATTTTTAAAATTTATTATTATTTATTATAAGTACAAACTCTTACTTGATGCGGTGCTCCCGAAGTGTATCCTGCTCCTGATGACTTGTTCCTGTCATTGGTCTTGTTCACTCTGATTGGAACCCCCTCCCCACAAGACAGGTACTCCGTGCCATCCAGAGTCAGTGCCTTCTCTATTTCTGACTCATCGCTGAAGTTCACAAATCCGAATCTCTTCGTGCCTTGCTGGTCCAAGTACGTGTGAGCCGACACTATCGTCTCCGGACACTGAAAAGAAGAAAAGAGACATGCTCTAAGATGGCAACTTAATTCCTGAGTAAAACCGAAGGTTCGCAGCTTAAATGAAGTCTTTTCTATTATAACAACTGTTCGCTCTCGCTTTACTCGCTCGCAAGTTAGACTAAAACTCATAACTCTCCAACCAGTTTTTCTTGACAATGAGAACACTTCTGGGAATCTCGACAACGAGAAAACTCTTTGGAATTTTTTCCATCGAATCAAGACTGAATGGGCTTCAATATGAAATATGAAATCACTCGACCAATATTGATAATTATTTGCTGGCTTTTCGCAACTCACTTATCACTAACATATTCTAGAATTTGAAACTGGTCGGATCCAATCAAACTAGGCGCCAGAAAATTAGTGCAGACAAACTTGGGTAATTGTACACAGAACAATTTGATCTATCCGCCAACAGTTCGAGTACAAAAACTCAATAATAAAAATAACTTTAAGACTATTTTTTCTCATTTTATAATGCAGGTCAACTGATTTTTATTTATTCAATACTAGTTTTTTTAAAAGCAAGAGGATAAAAACGGTTTATACCAAATAAGGAACAAAAAACATATTAGCATTGGTCTTCAAAACACAAGAGTTGAGAAAAACTTTCAAATGGGACAAAACAATACTCTGACTTCATATGCATCGACCAACATTTAGACAGCATGAAACTAGTTTTGAGCGGTTTGAAAATCATTCGAAGCAACTTCTAATTTATTGTTGAAGCTTAAACGGTTTTTATTTGAATCGTGACAACACTGATCTTTATTTGGCAGATACCATTTTTAGTTTCAATTAATTTTCGGTTCACAACATCTAACAAATTCGTTCAAATTCAGGTTCCATAAAATCACGATGTCATGGCTAAAATTATCGTTTGATCAAACTCAAACGCTGGCTAAATGCTGCTGATTAAAAAACAACGAACAAATATTTTGGATAATATATAACGCATATCTTTAACTATTTGTTATCATGGTATTTGGACAGTATTCGTTCCAGACTGTAATCACCGTTCTCAATTGAAAACGATTACGTAAAAGTTTAAATTTAGTCAAATTTGCTGACTAAACACGATTTATGTAAAGATTACATAATTGTACAGCATTCAATGTACAGCTTGTGTGTATTTCGATTCACGGGGAGATCATTGACTTACAGCATTGAGATGTTTTGATTTTATTCATTTTGAAGGCAAAAAAATAGACGAAGCGTAGCTTCAGTGTCTTTCCTGCTTTCTCCTACCCTCTCAAAATCCGTGAAAACTTCGTTCATAACCGAAAACTAAAATGTTGTCATGAAAGTAGAAAATCTTCGTGCATCTTGTGTTATCCGGAGGGGAAACGACCCAAAATTAGGTCACTAATCAGATACATTTTATATCAAGATCTTTTGGACTGAATGCAGTTTTTAAGCAAAAAAAAAAGAATACATACGAAGACAAGGTTATTTAAATTACAAGTTGAAGGAGTAAATCAAAACACTTAGAAAAACTGCAATGAAAAATGCGTACATCAAAACAAAAAAAAGCAATTCTGTATGACAACTAGGCCGGTTGATTTCTTTTTAAAACAAAATTTTTACCGTAAGAAAAAAGAAGCCCTGGTCAGATTCGAACCGAGGACTTTTGCCTTCCAGGCTTATTCTTTATCCCCAGACCAAGTGATCCAGAATTATTCAGAAACTTAAAGTCATTATGAACAAAGATACCAAGTGATTCTGTTAAACAAGTTTTTAACGCAACAAAGTTTTTTTCTTCATTTTATCCCCCCACACGATATGTATATTACTAAGGGTGTGTTTGGCGTCTCGTTTTGTGATAATAGGATTAAAATGCTGCCCTAACTCTTTTCTTACGCGTGTTATAAAAACGCAATTCAGTGCTGATTTAAATTAAACGGACAAAACGCGTTTAACTTGAAATGTAAAACGCATTTTTCTCAAATTGGGTTGAGTTTAGGTGAAAACTTATGAGGACAAAAGTTGCTTAAAATTTTAGCAGATTTAATATGGTGTAACTAGTTTTGCGAAATTCGGGCCCGAAATTTTACCCCAAAATGGGTCATTTTGGCTTTTCTTAGTTAATCAAAAATCACGCCGAAAATACCCAGTCGATCACAGACACAATTATATCAAAGTGAGCCCCTCACGTAGCCCAACAAACTTTATGAATGGTATTTTCTCCAAAATAATGTATAAATTAATTTATTTTTGTTTGATAGACAAAAAAAGTTATTTATACTATATAAAATACCAACTTTTTATTTAAAAACAATTTTTAAACTATTTGCATTTTTTTTGAAGAAAAAAACTTTCATAAAGTTTGTTGGGCTACATAAGGGGGTCACTTTGATATAACTATGTCTGTGGTCGAATGGGTATTTTCGGCGTGATTTTTGATTAACTTAGAAAAGCCAAAATGACCCATTTTTGGGGTAAAATTTCGGGCCCGAATTTCGCAAAACAAATTACACCATATTAAATCTGCTAAAATTTTAAGCAAGTTTTGTCTTCATAAGTTTTCACCTAAACTCAACCCAATTTGAGAAAAAAGCATTTTAAATTTCAAGTTTAACGCGTTTTGTCCGGTTAATTCAAATGAGCACTGTATATCGCACTTTAATTTTTCCAAATTGGCCAAATTAGCATTTTCAATCGTCCGTAACTTTGCGAAAAATGATCACAGGTGAAATAACTTTTTAAACTTGAGCTTAGAATACCAAGGCAAAAACAACATAGTTCATATGGTATCAAAAAATTCCGACAAAAACGCTTAGCTAACAAGTCGAAAATTGACTGAATCAAAAAACACACCAAGCATAGATATTCCGCACTTTTTTGGAAAGTCAGAACAAAAAAATCTTATCGCAAGCTATCTTAACAAGTTAATCAGATTACAAGTTAAACAGTTATAGCACTACAGACGAAATATTATTTCGCCAACGGCTAGAAATCAAAAATACTTATCATTATTTGCTTATAATGGGTAGCATAATTGAATTTTAAATAGTTTATTTAATTTAACTCGTATTAACCTCGCAGTGTTGCAAAATCGACAGTTTAATTAGCTTTCTGGTTTTGATTTGCTTCAGCTTTTGATGCTTACTTATCTCAGTTTGTCTTCAAAATTTAAAGTTCAAAATTTTACGATTCGTAGGGACTAATAGAAAAGACCATCGCAAAGTCTTGAATAAAAACAACAGGCTGTTGTAGAAAAAGCACAGAATATTTGAACAGTATTTATCCTCGCAGATCATAATAAAACATAACCAACAGAGGAATTCAATGAACCAACGAAACATGATGACACTTCTATTGCTCATAAATTCACCCAATTAGAAAAATCTGGGTCAATAGATGTTTTTTTTTATTATTTCGCTGGAAAAAGAGATTTGATGTGGGAAACCGCTCCTAAAGTTCGGTCTCATGACAATTCGGGTACAAAAACATTTTTGAAAGCAACCAAAAAGCCAGAAAAATGAAATCAAACGTTTGATAAATTTCTGGCTTAATACGAACAAAACTCGCCAATGAAAAAATTATTATCATATTTTTGGATCTTTACCGAAAATCAAAAAAGAATTCTCAGATTGGCAGAAACGAATCAAGTCTAACTTCTAGAACTTGTACCCCAATTTTCTGTGAAACAGACCATAAGAATCAGACCTTTTATTTACTTATTGTCCACTTCATGAAGCGATTGATACCACTTCCGATTCTCAAAGAAAGACAGAAGCTAAAAAAAACTGAAAAAAATGCGGAGTTTCCGGTCACTTATGAATTGTAAAAACTGCACGTTTATGAAATTGTACAAACCATCAGTAAAACAAAGGCAGTATTATACTTGCTAATAATCCAAACCACAGCGGAGTCAATTTTAAAAAAGCGATAAGCTATGTAGTCAAAGTATCAAGAAGAAAAATTTTGGAATAAACTGACAAATGGCTTTAGACAAAACCAAATTTATACATTAAGCCCCACCTTTGTTGAGAAGAGGTCGAATAGCGCCTTGTTGCTGATGTTCTGAGCCAAATTGCCTACGTAGACTGAGTGGTTAGTTCTGCTGCTGGATCGAGACTGGAAACCGCCCTGGCCGTAGCCCGCCGCCCCTCCCATGTTTGGGAAAGGTGTGCGTTGCTGATTGCCTGCTTTGTGGGCCGCGTAGTTTAGCTTGAAACGGTGCATGCCAGGTACATTCAGAATAGGTTTTCCATTCAAATTCATTAGCACCTAAAACTCATTGCTCAAAATGACTAAGCACTGCACCAAAGAACTCTACCACGACCTGTGGCATCCCAGAAAAACCCCACATGATTTCGATATCGATCTATCATAATTCCAGCTATGTCGCATGATAGTCCCAAACCCCCCAAAGCCAGCATACTAAAATACTGTGGTGATGATACAAATCTTTGCTTTTAAGCTGGAGGGTGACTCTATTGGACATTTGGGAAGCACTCTATTTCCTAGAGTTTAAGCACTCTAATTCCATATCCTATTTCGAACTCATTGTCAAATAAACAGGAATCATACTGATTTTTAGATAGCTCATAGTTCGGTGATTTAACAATTTTGAAAACACAAGACATGCTGTAGTTACCTTTTCTGCATGGTCCGAATTCGGAAACGTAACAAAGCAGTATCCATTTCCAGATGATACTAAGTTGCGGCCCATTTTGACAGCCAATGGTTGTTCGTGATGACTGGCAAATGCCGCCATGATAGTGTCTTCTGTAGCCATAGGTGGCACATCTCCCATCCATAGTGAGGCCATCTGTATTAGTCTAGTAAGGTACACGGGTTATCTGAAACAAAGATAATCACTGGCATAAAGCTAAGATGATCACTGGCATTCACTCTTTTGCTGAAATTCCACTTTGTTGCTGAAATTTTCTGGTTCTAAATGAACTCTTTTGAACATATTCAGGAATGTCTCTATTCCAGTCCCCCTTTGATTTTCTCTGAAATTTGAAAGTCGATTTAAAAATACTTTATTTGGTATTAACTGCAGTACAATGTGTCAGCGCAAACAGGTGAACAAATTTTTACATTTTTTACATGCAAAATGCCATGCGAACAATTTTTGAGCAGCTTTATATTGTAATTTAGGAGGAGGGGTGGGAAACTGGAAAAAAAGCCTCAGAAAGTACAAAAATCTTTTATGGTGCACGAAAATTTTGACAGATTCAGATGTCAAAGCTATTCGCATGTGACAGAATTTCCAACTGTAATTTTAAATCAAACTTCTTAGCTTACAACTATCAATTTTTTTGCTCCAACAACATAAGGTAGAAGAAACTAAAAACTGAGATATTAAGATGTGAATTCAAACGTTTTCGGAACTGTGTCCATCGTCAGGTTAATAAAACTGCTGTAAAGTGAATTACAGACGTTAAAACATCATAAAAGATCATTAGATGGTTCTAAGCAAAAAATAAAAACTTTCCACTTTAAGTTTGATTAACTTTAGCATTATTGCGTAAGATTTTCGTAATCTTTATTTTTCTTAAAATTTTTGAGATTTTAATCTTACTTAGCGTTTCCTTATTAAAAAAAAACTAAATTACAAAAGGGGCCCTTCCGTTTAGTTACGGTAAGTGCACAAGCTGGATAGGGCCATACCAGCGATATAAAAATGCATATATATCAGCAATGAAGTCATAAATCAGCATTAAATGCATCGTCGTAATGTTAATTTATCTTAGCCGTCCTTCCTCTACAATAGCGCTTATGGAGTTGTCGATAAATTGAGCTTTGCTTAGCGATCTGCACCCCCTTATACAAAGTATAGAGCTCCTCAGGAGCGCGAAGCTTATTTTAGTTCTTATGCAGTTTATAGATTCTGGATAGCTTTCTTGTCTTTTTTCACTTAGTTTTTCGGCCAATCGCTGCATCTTCCGCGTGGCTGTTGGAGCAGCGCCACCGGTGCATCCAAAAATAAGCAGGCAGAAGCAACTCTGCTCTACGTTTAAATTTCTTTGCTGATATTTGGAGTTCTTCAGCGTTTCGTGGTATTTGTATGCATCCTTATGCAGTTTTCGCAATGTTTTGGCATGGGGGTTGAAAATTTCTACATCAAAGAAAGCGCGGCTAAATCGTGAACCCGAGTCCGTTTGCCCTAATGTCAAGTCGTGCCTCATCTACAGTTTTAGTTGAATTTTTGACAAAGTTTTCGCCTTGCAACGGCTGAAGTTTCGGCTCAATCTCGACGTCATGACAAACCTCGTTCATGAGGTTGGCGAATGTGTCTCTTATTTCATTGTGTCTTATGTGTGTAACCACCCTTTACACAGTGACGCGCATGTGTCAAGTTAAATTCAGCACCACATGCACATGTGAGTGGGGTTTTGGTTGGTTCCCATCCATATCTTAAGTAAATACCATCTCTGAACTCTGATTTATTCAAGTTGAATTTGTATCTGCTCAGTGGTAGAGCATTGAGCCAGTTAGAGGCTCCCTTTTCAGAAGCCAGGTCGATTGCGTATTTATCTGTTTCATTCAAGGAGTTAATGAGGTTTGTTTTTTTTTCGATTTGTTTTATCAGTTTTCAATTTTTTGGTTTTCGTACATATTTTTTCTTGCTGTGTTACTGCTGTAATAGGATCTTGAGATTCCAGTACCAGTGATGTTTCCTTAGACCATTCTAGGTAGCTTTCAAGATCAGATGGCAGCTTGATGTTAAGTCCGCCCATTTTAAGGGGTAAGGAAGATATCTCACGGAACTGGGGGTTTAAAGTGTCTTACCGACTAGGTTAGGTAATAATTGTTCTTTGATAACGTTTTCACATATTTCTAAGTTTTCCATAGTGTTAGGCGTTGTCCTGGCAAGAACTGAAAGCTTTTCTTGAACTCCTTTAGTATAGCAGGCAGAAACGTATTGAGGGGAGGTTTTAGCAATTTTCGTTAGTTTTTTCAAAATTTTGATTTGCTCATTCTGTTGAAATTCGAGGAAATTTTTACATTCAGATTCTGTTTCTATAACTGAACCAAGCACTCGCGCTCCTGCCTTTATAATGATTCCTGTATTTGCGAAGATTTTCTGAGCGTCACCGAGTTTTTCATCTTTGATAATGAGTTGGCATTTGGATGCTTTCACCTGGTAGCCGAAAAATTTACCCTGTGATACAATTTTATCGAGGACGGTTCGTAGATTTCTTACTTTACCGACTGCCCTTCCGTCGACTGCGTACCATTTCTGGGTTACATCGTCTACTGATAAGAGATTTATGAGGGGTATTATGGCTAGACCGTACATGGCCATTGCTAGTGGATCCCCCTGGGTGGTCCCTTCTTGAGAGTAGATTGTTTTTTTTTGTTAACGAATAGTTTAGATGGATTGGAGTAGGAGTTCTTAATCGCTGTTAAAAGGGAAGGGCAGGTGTTTTTGATGTTTTCTAGTGCCAGCTTTCGGTTCAGCGAGTTGAAATCGTTTTCGGCATCTATCAGTAAAATAGCATCGGCGGAAGTTTTGCTGAATTGATCTCTTAGCGTGTGGATCGCATATTCAATGCCACATTTTTGTCCTAGGCAGAGTTGGTAGTTTGAACCGAGCGACATGAGTTCGTTTTTCAGGCATTTAGTTATTGTTCGCCCTATTATCCTACGCATAACTTCTCCTATGCCTATGGGTCTTACTCCTGGATTCTTATCTAAGGGTATTAATCTGCATGCGTTATATGGTTCTATTAGTTCTGGATTTAGTTCTTCTGTGGCCAAATTTTTGGCAATTTTAGCAATTGTTTTTGAAATTTCAACTGATTGTTGCCCGAAGTATGTTAGAATACGTCACCATTCATTCGCATCGAGGCCAGATGGTCCATGCAATCCGTGCATTCTCATGGCTGCCCTCTTGATATGTTGACCGTTTATCTGATCAAAAATCGATGGATGGAAAGGAATTGTTTTGTTTGACACTGGTGTAATATAGTTCTCATTAATTGGTTTAGATGGTGGGTGTTTCTCTATGAGAGTCTGTTCTACTGTCTTACCTTTGACAATCTCGTCGAGCGAAAGAACGCCTTTAGATGTGTCTGTTAGTTTTGCAATTGCGCTTGATATTTTTCCAGTATTCATTAATTTGTTGAACTGTTGTGCTTCAGTTTCAGTTTTTCTTCTACTTCCTTTCAACAAGCGCATTTGCAGCGCCTTTCCTTCGTTATATAGTCGATCCAGGTCTCCGTCTTGCCATTGCTTAAGTCGCCTTGCTATTGTTTTGGATAGAGATCCATCAATTTCAGACTTGGTTTTGCACAGTATTAAGTGTGGAAAAATCATTGCTGCGTGCATTGCGAAGGTATTTTCGTTGTTTTCTATTAGGCTGCTCAAAGTTCCATTGAGGGTTTCAATAAAGTTATAACCAACTTTATTTTTTGACAAGATCATAAAGACCGGTTTCTAGTGGACCACTTCGGTGTATATTTTTCTGGTGGTTTCTTTGAGTTCTGGACAGGTGTTTGACCATGGTTCTTGTAATGTTCTGGATTCTATAGTGGAAGACTATCCTGAGTTTTGTGAGTGTGGGGCAGTGGAAGGGTGAGGGTGAATTTGGTGGAGCGTGGTTGTAGCTAGGGTTGGGGGATTGCATTCATGCTTGTCGTTAGCTGAGTGAAATTGGGAGGTGCAGCGATGACAACTGAAATCGCCATAGTGATCACTGCTGCGGGCGACGCCGCTGCATTTTACATGCATGTAGCCTGGGCATGTGAAGCACCAAACACCTCCGCCTCGCAGGCTGCTTTTACAAATAAGGCAGTGTGTCTGAGTAGCCATTTTAGGAAGGACGGCGGTGTCAAGTTAGCGAGAGAATTTATAGATTAATTTTGCTAGAAATTTTGTAAAGAAATCATTATCGTAGAACGAGAAATGGATGCCATCACGGCAGAACATTTGAGGGGTTAGATTTAGGTTGAGGTTAGCGAAACAATAAGTGTATGGGGGTGTACAAATCTATTTATCAAATTAAACAGCACATGATTATGAATATAAATTTTGCGGTTTACTTCGGAATTATTACAGTTCTGAATTGTTATGGGGATGATCAGTGTCTTGGGCTGAAACTTGTTAGTGACAAGGTTAATCAAGTTTTTCCACTGCTGTTCTAATTCTTGTGGATGCAGCCTGTTGTCATTGTATCCAGCAACTATTGTTACTGTATTTAGGCGCTTTGGTCTGTATTTTAAAACTGTTTCAAACAGATCATGAAGCGTTGCGCCGCGGTAGGAGTGAATTGTTGATTTTACTAGAGCTGGTTTGATATATTTGGTCCTTGAAGTCCCGATAACTAGTTTCTGTGAGAACTCAGGGATGCGTCTTGCCTGGAATCGCGGGATCAACCTGAAACACAGACAACTGGGGCAACAAAGGAAGCTCTTTGGGGTAACTTATTAGTACTTTCACTTAGGGTTTAAAATTGCTGAGGCAAAGGCGATGAAAAAAAAAGAAGTGGTACAACCTGACGTCGATTTGGAGGTCGATTCACCAGCTCACTACTTCCTGCGTCTAGTTACGCCAGGGAAACTTCACTCGCCTACGGCTGGGACGGCGTGATTTGGTAAGATAATCAGAAGAGGAAAGCCCAGCGAGCATATGATATGAAAACACACAAGCGGTAAATTTGAACAAGGAAATCTATTCACTAAGTTTATCACAACAGTTAGGCTATGATAAACAATTAGGCTATGATAAAAAGGCTATGATAACAATCTATCACAACAATTAGGCAATTACTAAATTTAGCGTTTCCTTGTACTAAAATTTCGATTTTACAGTTTTTTCGATTGACATGTTCGATATTTTAAGCCA